ACCATTGGGACAAGGACAGGAAGGGAACCTGGAGAACCTGGGTCTCATAGGGCACAGGCGTCCTGCCAGCCTGGGCCGCCTGAACTACTCCTTGAAGCAGAAATACACTTTGCTTAAGTAAGCGTCCATATCAATGGGTCTCCTTGTGATAATAGGTTAATTAATATATCAACGAGGATTAATTAGTATTAGTCTTACCACTTAACACTCCAAGTGTTAAGCCGCAATGAGACTGCTATTTTTAGAGGTCTACAGCAGTTGACTATCAGGTCAGATATTTTACAAGGAGAAAAAACACTCCCAAGTAGGTAGTTCACTCTGTAGCTAACATAGGGCCAGATGAGAACGGACATACAAAGTACTAAATAACTCTGAAAGAAATTAAACAAATCAGAAATCTCACATTTATGGATTGAAAAACACTATGTCTATGATGTCCATAGTCCCCCAAATAACTCACAGACTAAACACAATCCCTCTGAAAATCCTAGGTATCAGCCGAGGTGATGGCACCTATAATCCCAGTACTTGGGGATACAAAAGCAGAAGGAGCAGGCATTCAAGAGCATTTTGCCTATATATCTAATCTGAAGTGAGCTGGAGCTATACGAGGCCATTCTTTAAAACAAAATCACAATTGCTTATTTTACAAAATTAACAAAATGATACTAAGATTTATAAAGAACTGCAGTGGATTCAGAATGACCAAAACAATTCTGAAAAGGCAAAATTGGAGGGCACTCATATCCTAAACTTCAAAACTTACTACCAAGTTGCATATTAACGTGCAGACACAGACACGCTAACAGAACTGTGAACCCAGGAACAAGCCCTCACAATTCTCCTGGGATGTTTCTGGTAGAGATGACCAAGTGTTTCAATGGGAAGGGTAGTCTCTTCAACGCGAGGTCCTGGCACAGTGAGCAGATATGAAAATATAAAGTTTGACCTCTGGTGCAGGACAATTGTCTATATTCTGTCAATTATGTTTTAAACAAACACTAATTGGCCAGAAGCCAGGCAGGAAGTATAGGCAGAACAACCAGACAGGAAGTAGAGGTGGGTCAATGAGAACAGGAGAATTCTGGAAAGAGGGAAGCTCCCTCTGCAGTCCTGACCAGACACAGAAGAAGCAAAATGTGACTACGCTGCTGAAAAAGGTACTGAGCCATGTGGCTAACACAGATAAGAATAATGGACTAATGTAAGTTATAAGAGTAAATAAGAAGCCTGAGCTGATGGGCCAATCAGTTTATGATTAATGTAGACCACTATATAATTTCTTTGGGACTTAACAACAGCTGGAACCAGGCAGAACAAGGACTGGGCAGGATAGAAACCTCCAACAAATGGTGCCCAACCAACAGGCCTCCACCTCATACCACATGAAAATCAAGTCAACATGGATCAGAAGCCCCAGGGTAAGAACCAAGATTATAAAATTCTCAGAAGAAAACAGAGCTAGGAATCTTCACAGCCTTGGCTGAGGCAATGCTTCTTAGGATGACAACAAAGTCAGGCTATAAGAAAAAATAAAGAAACACTTGGGCTTCAGAGTACACTACCAACAATTATCCAAAAGACATAGAATGGAAAAAAATTAAAACATGTTAAAATACATGCAATAATAAACTATTTTAAAACTAAAAAAGAAACAACCCAAAAGACAAGCCAGTTTTTAACTGGCAAAAGAGTTGAACAGACACATCTCCTGAGGAGATACACAATGCCCAATGAACACAAGAGAGACTCAACTTTGAGAGTCATTCAGAAAATGCACATTAAAAATACTGTAAAGACTGAGAGAAACAATCAATAAATGGGATCTCCTGAAACTGAAAAGCAAGCCGATCAGTAGTGATGCACGCTTTTAATCCCAGCACTGGGGACACAGAGGCAGAGACAGGCAGATCTCTGTGAGTTTGTGGCCAACCTGGTCTACAAGAGCTAGTTCCAGGACAGGCTCCAAAGCTACAGAGAAACCCTGTCTCAAAAAAAAAAAAAAAAGAAAAAAGAAAAAAGAAAAGAAAAGAAAAAAGAAAAAGAAACTGAAAAGCTTCTGCAAAGCAAAGGACACGATCAACAAGACAAAACAACAGCCCACAGAATGTGAAAAGATATTCACTAACCCCACATCAGACAGATATATAAACATATATATTGGTCATCAAAAGAAAAAATAATCCAACTAAAATAAAATGAAGTACAAACCTAAACAGAGAACTCTCAACAGAGGAATCTAAAATGGCTGAAAGACACTTAAGGAAATGTTCAACATCCTTAATCATCAGAGAAATGCAAATCAAAACAATTCTGAGATTGCATCTTACACCTATAAGAATGACCAAGATCAAAAACACTGATGACAACTTATGCTGGAAAGGTTGTGGGGGTAAAGGGAACACTTCTGCATTACTGGTGGGAGTGCAAGCTGGTACAACCCCCTTGGATGTCAGTGTGGCAATTTCTCAGAAAATTAGGAAATCACCTACCTAAAGACCCAGTAATACCAGTTTTGTGTATATATCAAAAGGATACTCAATTGTGCCACAAGGACATGTGCTCAACTATGTTCATAGCAGCACTGCTTGTCATAGCCAGAACCTGGAAACAACCTAAATGCCCCTCGACCAAAGAATGGATAAGGAAAATGTAGTACATTTATACAATGGACAGCAGAAAATAATAATGACATCTTGAAATTTGCAGGCAAATGGATGAGCTAAAAAACATTATTTTGAGTAAGGTAACCCAGCCCAGAAAGTCAATTATCATATGTACTCACTCATAAGTGGTTTTTAAACATAAAGAAAATAAGCCTACAAATCACAATCCTAGAGAACCTAGACAACAATGAGGACCCTAAGAGAAACATACATAGATCTAATCTACATGGGAAGTAGAAAAAGATAAGATCTCCTAAGTAAATTGGGAGCATGGGGACCTTGGGAGTGGGTTGAAGGGGAGGGGAGAGGCAGGGAGGAGAGCAGAGAAAAATGTAGAGCTCAATAAAAATCAATAAAATTAAAAAAAAATACAGTGAAGAGCCAGGCAGTGGTGGCATACACCTATAATCCCAGTACAAGGGAGGGAGAGGCAAGCCTGGTCTACAGAGTGAGTTCCAGGACAGCCAGGGCTACACAGGGAAACCCTGTCTCTAAAAACAAACAAACAAAAACCCCAGTAAAATCCTGCTTCACAGACTAGGATGGCTATAACCATAACAACAGCACCAAGAGTAGACGCTTGAGATAGAGGAGTTAGTGGAGTGGACCCATGGCATTTAAATGGAGCATCTGTGCATGAAACAGTGCGCTAGGCCCTCAAAAGGTTAACACATATACTTAATGGTATGAAGGCACAGGCCCAAGTCAGCAGAAAACATGCAGTCACAACAGAATGTGTGTGTCCATGTCCACGGCAGTCTTATTCATAACATCCCCAAAGAGAAAACTCACTCTCTATCACGTAATGAATGAACAAACTATATCATGGAATACTAAAAAGCCATAAAAGGAAAGAATGTGCAATGAAGCTACAACATGGCTGAACTTGTGTGAACACATTACATCTAAGAAGTAAGTGACAGAAGAACACACATTGTGTGATTCCACTGATGGGAAATGGCGATGAGGCTAATCCAGAGACAGCAACAGGTCAGACGGGGAGGAAGTATGACAGGCAGAAGGCATGGGGTCTCTCTGAGGTTTAGAACAATCTGGGAAACAGCGATCACAGTGGGTGGGATGGTGGCCCTAACAATATCTGTTGATGTTCTTGAACTGAGAATCCGTAAGTGGATGGGGGTCTTTTTTGGGATCTTTAGGATGGGGCCCTGCTGTACTTATTTTAAACTGTGGCCTCCAGAGCTATGAAAGAGCAAATCTCTGTTGCTTTAACTCATCTGGTGGGTGGAAACGTGGTATAGCGGCTTAGGAAGCAGGTAACAGTGGCGAGTGACGCTCAGTTTAGTCATGTATTTAAGCTTGTTTAGGTTTCCTTGGGTCTTTGTTGTTTTGATGAGACAGGGTCTCACCTATCCCAGGCTGGCCTCGTCTATGATCCACCCGCCTCCACCTCTGGAGTACTGGGATTACATACCCACACCACCACTCCCAGTTCTCTGGGGCTGGAGATCAAATCCAGGGTCTCGAGCACACTAGTACTGTGCACACTCATCTATCTACTGAACTGCATCCCAGTCTTGAAGTCAGCTTTATAAATGCTAAAAAGTTCTGACCTACATACTGCAAAGGGTGTGCTTTATGATCTATGACTATCTCAAAGCAGTTAAAGGAAATACATATATACAGAAGCACGCACACATGCACACATGCTCACTGCCACATGCCAGGAAGCACTGATCCTAGACTGAGGTGCACTTATCACCCACAGTCTTTTCTTGTATAGGACATCTATCTGATGGTAACTTATCCTTCCTCAATGGCAACATGATTTTTTTTTTTAAATTCTATGTCCTTGTGACCTCTTGGATTGACACTTGCTAGTAGAGATTGCTAGCCACGTCTAATCTGTAACTCCACAGCTCTTAGGGTCTGCTGGGGACCCATCTATTCCCATTTCTAGATAAATGTCCAACACACAGAGCCCTGCGTAAAAGAACAACTAGATAGCTGGAAGGGACCATTTCCAAGTCATCAAGTGACTCAGGAGCATACAGGGAGGACAACAGGTTAAGTCCACCCGGAGTCTCACAGTAGCAGCTGCTGAAGCCCAGCAACGTGGCAGGGCCAAAGTTACTGCTTGGTGTAGGGTGACTTCCCACCCTTCAGTCAGAGACAGAAGTACATGGTGCCCCTGGACTCTGCTGCTCTTTCCTGAGGAGTGACCTACCACATGAAGTGCCTGCAGAGATGACATAATTGCCGCAGCATCCCTTAGCCACACAGGATTCAGTAGAGGTCCCTCTGAGAGCTCACACAGACTGACCTGGGGTGTCCGCAGGTCACACAGACCTGGGCTGCACCTCTGGATCTTACCTCCACACGTCACTGCCTTTGGAAAACATGGAAGCACGGATGACCTCGGGTGCCATCCAAGCGTACGTCCCTGCCGCGCTCATCTTGGTGGTCCGGTGCCATTCCCGAGCCAGCCCGAAGTCAGTGATCTTCAGAATCTTGTTACTCAGATCTCCATTCTCCACTTTCTGCAGGATCAGAACTGACGAAGACAGCAACACAAAAGAAAACGGATAAGCCTGAATTGCAGGGTCTCTGCCATCCACCTGCCCCCTCCTGCAGGCGCCACTGTCCTGCCGTGGTGCCCTGGCGGCAGAAACACCATTTCACAACCACCCACAACACATTCATTCTGCACCATGGATTATTGTTGGCATCATCTCAAGTCCCCACAATGCAGGCATTCCAAGCTGAACATCCCTTATCCAAAAACTGCTTAGAGGTGAAATCTACAAAGGTTCCTCCAGATCTAAAAGGACCCCAAATTCCGAAACGTACATTTGGGCTTAGGAGTACTCTCAGCCTGGACTGCCGTCTTTGTGCCACAGGCCAGGGCTGGAGACCAGGCCCGACTTGAGAGGCCGCCCTCCTGCCGCAGAGTGTCAGGAGAACTGTGAGTCACAAAAACCCGTCTGAGCAGCAGCCCCCTGGGCTTCCTGCATCAAAGCACATCTAGATTATACCCACTCACGGGCCCCGGGACTAGAGATGTTTCAGATACAATGTCTAGACAGCATCTGTGACCCCCTCACAAGCCCATCCCACCTACCTCCTGACACAGCGACACTTACATCATCCACAGAGTTCATGTTCAAGAACCCTACAACTGAGTTACAAAATAAATACTGCAAAAAAAAAAAAAAAAAAACCCATCTCCTACCCCACCCCCAAAATGTGTGTTTTAAATAAGTTTGCCATTTTATGTTGGGCCACATTCATAGCTACCTTAGACACATGAGGCCCACAAGCTATGGGTGGGGCACCCCTGACACTCTGAAGAAAGCCTGTCTGTTGGACCCTGGAGATTTTCTCATAATCCAGGCAGGTCCCCCACAACCAAGTGAGAAATGGCTGAAGAACTGGGGCGGGCCAGAAGCAGGCACACAAACACACTCATGAGATCCTCAGTGAGCATGCTCAGGGAAGAGGAGCTGGTGCAGGGATGACTCCAAAGCACTGCAGTGTGGGAGGCAGCCGGGCTCTCCTAGGACGGCAGCTGAAATAGCCACCTCACCCATATGTAGTCCCAGCCATAAACGTAACCCAGTAGGAGACAGGCTAACTAAAAATCACCCCAAACATAATGGACTAAGATGCCACACTGTAAAACTCTGAGCAGTAGGGATAGGGAGCTGTGCCGGTGCGTGCAGGACAAGCCTCCTGTCTCAAGTGGCATGGTTCAAAAGCTTTGTGTCAGCACAGCTTCTTTAGCTGGACACAGCCTTGCCTGAATCTGAGTTTGTGGAAGTTCAGAGCAAGAAGGAAGGTTCCCTCTTTACCCTGTGAAGAAGAAACAGGCTGGAGACAGTGTAGCAACTAATTTTTAAGTGAGGAAAACAGTAAAAATGATACAAGTTAGCTCTTAGCCCAGTGTGCCAAGCTGGCTTAGAGGTTTCCTATTCCCCATGAACTGCAGGGCCTCTGAAGTAGGCTGTACAGAGATGTCTTACTCTCACTGCAGACCCTGACAGCAAAGACCCCTCCATAGCTAAAGAACAGAGTCTAGGAATGCAATACTTGGGTCAATTTGAAGGATAGGAGGAGGTGCTTCAAGACAGCCACACCCCTCTTCTCTACCCCTACTCCAGCCCACTGAACTGTCACATCTTGAAGGGCTATGGGCCAAGGAGCTCCAGGTCCTCTGTGCTTCCCAGGAAAGCAGCAGTATGGCAGGATTACCAGTAGCTGCAGAGCTGGAGGCTGAAAAGAAAACAACCCCACCCTAGACCTAATGGACTAAGCCTCCCTCTCCTCCTCCACACCCTCTCTACTCCAGACACATTCCTTCCCACCCTCGCTTCCCCCACCCAGGAGCTTGAGCAGACACAAAACAAGAGAAGAAAAAACCTTCCTCTCCACATTTAGTGGTTAAAACAACAACAAAACAAAAAAACAAAAACAAACAAACAAAAAAACCAGACCTTCCAGAATCTTCCCAGGCAAAAAACACAGGAAAGCAGACATTCAAAAGCCAGGCAAGTGACACTAAGGGAATTTCCCAATCCCATTCCAGAGGCCACTGGCCACCAACTATCCTCAAAGCAGCTCAGATACAAGAAACTCAGAGAGTGCCTCCCCTACACACAGAGAGTAAGGTCCAGTCACCCAGAGCCCTAAGTGGCAGGGATAGGGTACAACAGGGAGAGAGATGACATTTGATATTAGTCTATCTGAGGGCTTAAATGACATGTAAGATTGACAGGGCAGGAATCAGCCACGGATTGTCTGCCTGCATGGAGTAGTCCAGCTACCTACAGGTCAGTTCCACTTACTCACCACTGCCCACGCACCTCATACTCGCACTGTTTGGACTCTATGGCCTAGGGTCCTACCGTCATCCACAGACAGGGACTATAATCTGAGACCAGTCTGCTGCTCAGCAGGCAGTAGCAGGCCACTGGCTCCCACGTACTTAGTTAACTCAGCACCGGCGCTTGTACACCTCACATGCTGATGGACACCCCGTTAGCTGGGATGAAATATGAGAGATGAAATCAAGCAGTGTACAGCCAACCATCCAGTGGAGTGCCGCTCACCTTCAGCACTGACAGCTGCCACCTCTATCTGCTCTATTTTCACTGCCCCAAAGGAAGTCCTGCAAGCACTAGGCAGATATTCCCCATTCGCCTCTCCTCCCATGAGAAACCACCGGTCTGCTTTTGACGTACCCACTGTGAATAGTTCATGAAACAGAATGCTGTCTTATTTCACTTACTGTTTTCAAGGTTGGTGACATTATAGCTTAAGAATACACCATTGTAATAAATTCCTGCGATGTATGTAAATAGGACAGCTGCTCATTTGGGATCACGTGCTCAGTAACTGAACATGGCTGCCTACTAACATCTGAGTTCTCTAGTCATCTCTAGGATGTAGGGGATGACTCTCTGTTTCATCCATTCGAAAGAGAGGTGAAAAGATTAGGCCAGCTGTGTGCAGTTGATGAGGGTTGGGGACAGGGGCAGAATTCGCACCTCTCACTGCACAGCACTGTCCTTCACCTTTGTGCCATGTGATCCAGAGAGAAATGCTGTCTTTAAGGTTTAACTCAATTTCCTCACTGCTATGGCTGACTACTCATCTCTTCTGATACCCCGTTGCTACTTCCTCAGCAGCCAAAACCAACTGCACACAATTCAACAGTCGGTAAGTCTAACTACTCCCTGCTGAGGCATGTAAGTGCCTACCATCTTTTTCTCTAGAATGCCATGGAATGTGACTCCCAGAGGGTAAAAGCTTCATTCTCTTCTAGAATCCATGATATCCTGCTCCAGCAACCACAGGGCCAGGCTCTTGGCAAGAACTCCCCTCTGCCTGGCCAGTAACTGACTGAGGAGTACCTGTGCATTTTCTCTGACTATTGCTTTCCCATGTGAATGTTGAAACATATTGGGGGATGATTATGCAGAAGGGGGCAGAGTCAGAGAAAGTAACGCCTTAGCCAGGGGCCCCCAGTAACCAGCATATCTTGATGCAATGTGGGGTGTGGGCTACAGAAGAAGGGATAATTTGGAGATACGGCCTGCAATGGTTACTTCGGCACCAGTTACTTCGGCACCCTCTGGCCAAGTAACAGAATCAACCTAAGGAGGAAAAATATACTCAGGTTCTCTGTTTCAGAGGACTTCAGTCCACCACAGTGGTGATGGCACGGTGCTCACTGTGGAGGACTGAATGGTAGTGGGTTCCCATGTCACAGTCTGAGTTACAACTTTTTCAAATCCTGCCCTTTGCGACTTACTTCTGACAGCGGGCCTTCATGTCCCAAAGGCTCGACCACTACCTATTAGTTTGGCAATGGGCTTTATGGACTAGTTCTCCAGCCTTAAAAATAAGAAAATATATTTATTTGTGTGTGCATGTGTACATGCGTCTGAGCATGCATGCGTGTGTTTGTATGTATGTGTAGAAACGCTCATGCTATAGCATGCGAGTACAAGTTGCAGGTCTGCTGCAGGGATCAAACTCAGGTCATAGGTCTTAGTGGCAAGCCCCTTCAAACTCTAAGCCACCCAATTTCCTTCTCTTTCCTCATCTACTTTTTTTTTTTTAAATATTCTCTGCTGTTCTTTTCTTTCTGGGCTACATCACTCTGACTTCCTGGCCCTGCAATTGAGCTTTTATTTCCCATCATGGTTTTCTAAGTCGGAAAAGTTCTTTCTCATTTTCTCATTTGTTTCTGGAATGAGAAGTACAAACCCTCCTTCCTGGGTGGCAGGGGCTTCTGTATGATGGGTCTAACGTTTCCTCTCTGCCTTTTTGTTTGTTTTCTACCACTGTAGTTTCTCGAAGGGTTTTTCCAGCCTCTGCTTTAGTCTCTGGAGGACTTTGCTGAGTCAGACTCATCCTGGGCTCTCTGATGCGACTCAGCACATAGCTGCGCTTGTCTTCAAAAGGGCGTACACACTGAAACATTTACACAGGAACTGATGGGGTGTTGGTGATTTCTTTCAAAATAATAATAGGTGGGAATGAGTGGGGTGACAGATGGAAGAAGAGCTATGAGCTGGTAACTGTTGAGGCTGAGTACAAGAGGATTCCGGTACCATTCTCTTCACAAGGGCACAAGTCTTCCTTAGGAAGAGGAAGAAACAGGGAGAGGGAGGAGAGAGGAAGAGAGGGTGGGCGGGAGGGAGACAAATCAGAGTGTCAACATCTCTTTTACCTAAAGGAGAACTCCCCAGAGCCATAGCAAGACAGGAAAAGAAAACAGCAACAGACATGGACCCAAGGAATGTGGGTCCCAGCTCCAGCCCTGTGAAATCCTCCCCAGGACTCCATTTCTCTATCTCTGACACTCTCAAAGCCTGCAATTCCCTGAACGCATCATCAGTCTCCCCAGAACTCAGACAAGTTCTGCCAACTGTCTTGAGATAAGAATGGTAAAACTCACAGTTAAGGGGGAGTTAGGGGATGACTCTGCCCCAGAGGAAAAGTTAAAAAGCCCATGCTCTTGCCACTGCGGCCTTCGGGGTGTCCACA